TGGACTTAGAATTAGGAGTGTGGGGAAAGTTGGCGTTCCTATGGCCAGGATCCTCACCTGAACTTAAACTACTTGGTGATGTAACTGGCCTGCTGCTAGGCTACTGCTTCCACACCCATGGGCAATAAGCTATTACTGACTGAGTCACTATATAAAGAGCTCCACCCAGTGCTCTAGGTGACATGGTGGCATGGTTGTACAGCTGCAAGGCTGTGGGAGTGCAGAGACTGGAGTGGTGGCAGCACCGAGGCCAGAGACTGAGATGGCTGCAGGGGCAGAGAGGCCCAGAGGCAGAGACCGGCTTGCTGCCTACAGACTCGCTCTTAGTGGACGGGATTCTAGTGATTGACCTGCCACCAAGGAAATAAAGTTGGGTATAAACCCTTTCACCCCAAGAATGTTCCATTGTCACTTTTCAGTCTCATTAAATCCATAGTGAACTTGCCCGGGGCTGAAACTCACTGGCAGGACAAAGCTTTGACTGGGAGGAGCCTAGATGTTCCTGCAGGGGTGAGTATGGCAGATGAATGGGCCAGGGGGAGAGACAGTAAGATTTTATAGATCATTTTTTTAAATGAGAAATTTGGTTGAGAGTTCTACAGAGGGTTCATGAGTGGTCTTGTGAATATGTTTGGTCCTACACACAATGAGAATCCGTATTATGCACCTTTTATTAAGAGGCATTTGGAGAAAATGAATCTGGTACCATTAGGAGGATGGGATTTATCAGTGATCTGCCCAAGCCAAGGTGATAAGTTAGGAGGCCATTATAATAAAGTGCTTGGGCTTTAGAGTCAGGCAAACCGTGACTGAACCTGGGAGTCTGTCACTCAAGAACTGGGGGTCCTTGAGCAAGGTGTTTATATTCTCAATTTTTGATTTTTTAGCCCATAAAATGGATATCATGACACTTACTTTTCAGGATGGCTCCAATATTAAATGGGTCAGAATATGTAGAGCCTAGTGCCTAAAATGTCCTAGGTGATGACTGTCAGTTCTCCCATTCTTTCTGCTCTAAGTGAAGAGAAACTGTCAGGGAAATCATTTGTTGACTAATTGGTTCTGGCTTAAGGGAAGAGAACAAGAAAAGGTGATGCCATTGGCAGAAGTTGGGATGTGAGCAGTTTGAGTGAGTGGTGGGGAATTTGAGCTGACAGTGGGATAGATACAAGGAGAATCATCCCGTAGGCACTTGAAAATATGGCACATAAGGGAGACCAAGCTAAAGCTGTAGAGCCAGGGCCCCTTAGTGTAAAAGTGAGAGTGGGCACCATGTGTGCATACAAGCTTTAAGACAGCAAGGGTGTAGACAAGTTGTCGAGACTTGGAGGGCTCAAGGAGGGCTGGAGAGGGAAAGTGAGCAACTACTCTTTGAGAAAGAAAATGACACAGTACAGGCTGTCAACACTACAATTAGACTTTCCAGAAAATAAGTCATTATGCCAAACAAGAGGGGTAATAAAGCACAAGATTGAAGAGAAGCCATTTGATCTTGATCTCACAAGAATGAGTATTAGATAATTAGGGGCAGGTGGCAGGACTTAACTCCTCAGGAGGGCTGGAGAAGGGTACCAGGAGCCAGGGAAAAAGCCATCCAGCTGATCACAGAAGTGACTTCTGACTGGGCATCAAGAGTCACCACTTGGGAGGTAAGCATCCCTCAGGCTCAGGGCAAGGAAGTAGCGGGTGAAGACAAATATTCAGAAATCTAACCAAAAAGGAAGGAAAGATAATTGAGGAAGGGGCACCAGTTTTAAAGAAGATAGTATGGAGAGACTGCCATATGTTTGAGGTTGGGAGGAAGATAGAGAATATTAGATTATGGGGTGGTGGAACCTCAGAACTCAAAATAAAAAGCATTATTTTTAGAAATAGAAGTTGTACCTAGACTTTAAGATTTTAAGACTAAGGAATAAAAGCAAAATTAAGGAGACCCATGAGGGAAAGCCTCCCAGTGGCCTCAGGCTTCTTAGAAGAATAAGGAAGATGGAGGGGTGTAAAGGCTTCGGAAGAAGGGACCTCTTGTGGGGGATACACCAGATCATCCCAGGCACAGAAGAACAGGGTGAGTTAGAAGTCACCCAACGAAGGGACGACCAGGAGACTGAGGACAGTTAAGGAAACCGAGGCAGTATCATTGGGAGAAGTGAGGTCTACACGGGAGTCAGTGGTTGGCTTCAAATATCTGAGGAGCTGACATGCAGCAGGAGGAGACCTCTGTGGGACTTGGGGGGGGGCAGGTGATGGGAGTTGCAGATTCCACAGCAACAGAGGCAGAACTTTCTGACACTGAAGGAGTGGAGAAGTGAGTGTTCCCCCCGAGGTGTGTCCAGGAGATATGGGACAGTCATTGCACAGCATGATGCAGACAGGACTCCGCATCTTAAAAAGTCAGACTTTCATGATCTCTAAAATCAGCTGCTCACTGGCACAGCTGAAGACTATAACTGAATCTATGGGCATTCAACAACTTTAAAGAAATTAAATTTGAGAGGCTGGAAGTCATCTAATCTAACAACCCATTTGACTTTTGAGTCCCCTCCCTGAAAGGCTCCCAAATAATCAGGGAATATAAAAGGCACACCAGGTAAGCCTGAATCCACTAGTAGCCACTGGAGGCACTGGGCTTCTAGTTAATTATCTGAAGAGAGAACACCTCGGTGAAGTTCCCAGATAACTCACTGTTGAGATGGCCCCAGAGACACTTTCACACTTTCATAAGAACCCTTCTCAATGAAAGAGGAAATACGTGTGAAATACTGATAAATCTTGAGTATAATTTTGAGTTGTTCTTCACCCTTGCTTATTACTTGAAATCCCAAACTTACAAAGCAAATGCTGGGTTAGTATCTACATTTCAAAAGATCTTTTGCTTTACAAATTCTTTGGGACCCTTTTAAGCAACAAATGCCAAGGATGAACTTAAAACGTACTTACTTTTTCTCCCCGTGAGCAAAAAGTTCTTTGTACATGACTTTCCAAGAATTTGTGTGTCACACAATGTGAATTCCATGGGTATTACAACAGAATAAACACTTCCTTTGCTTAATTGGCCACACACAATCAGTCAGTGATCAGTTTGGGTCTGTCCAAAGGGAGGTTTAGCAGAGGACATCTCATTTGATCCAGAATTTTAAGATCTGCCCCAGCCAAGGGTTCTGTTTACTCAGGAAAGTGAGGTAAAGAAAAAAAACGTCAGAAATGTTCTCAGTGGCATCAGGTAGAAAGTCCTATTGGGATTGCTGCTACTGTTTACTAGGATTGCTGCTACTGTTTACTAGCTGTGTGGCCTTGAGGGGAGTGACTTAATCTACCTTAGCCTCTGTTTCTACATGTGTAAATCAGGAATCCCTAACTCATATGGTTATTCTGAGGATTAGAATGTCTGCAAAGCAACACACACATACACACACCCCGCACCCCAACACAGAGTAGGCAGACCCTTCTCCGCCTCCCCAGGGCTTACTTTCTTCCTCAGCCAGCCAGTGATATAGCACATCCAGAGATTGTTAATGCCATTTTATACAAGGCAGAGCCAAGTTGCAAACTCCAACTGAGCCAGCACAAAACCTGGCTTCTCTGCCATGGCTGCAGTCTGCCAGACAATCTCACCATCTCCTTTGGTGGGATATTCCACTCGGTAATAGCAAAGCAAGAGAGGCACTAATTTTGAGAAGCCATAAAGTACCACGAGTTATGGGAAATGTATCACTTCCATACACATAGCCCCTTACTAATGCCGTGCTAACCCTGGTCCATTTCTCAGGGGCAAAGGCTGACTGGGTGGGAGGCCTCACTGCAGGGGTCAGATGGTAAAAGGGTGAACTCTAGACCCCTATAACATCTCTCAGTCCCCTAGAGTCCTTCCAACCACCACCCTCCTCCTCATCTTTACTAAGGTTAGGTGGCAATTTTCATGAACTTAAAAGTGAACAAAAGCTTTTTAAAAAATTACATGCTCATAAAAATGGCTAAAATGAAAAAAGAAATGAAATGAAAATACTAAGTATTGAGGAGCATGTGGTACTACTGCTGGTGGGACTGTAAATTAATACAGCCCACTTGAGAAAACTGCTTGGTGGAATCTACAAAAGCTGGTATTCATATTCTATGACTTAGTGATTGCATTCCTATGGATTTATTGAATAGAAATGTTTATTATAGTCACCAAAAGACATATTAGACCTGTGCTGTCCAATATATGTGGCTCTTTATATTTAAATTAATTATGATTTTAGAAAATTAAAAATCCAAATCCTCTGTTACACCAGCCACATTTCAAGTGCTCAGTAGCCACATGTGTCCAGAAGCTATCCTATTGCACAGCATGGATAGAGAACATTGCCATCACCGCAAAAAGTTCTATTGGATATTGTTCTAGAATGTTTGTAGTAGCACTATTCACAATAGCCAAAAACTAGAAATTACCCAAATGCCCATCGCAGAATGAATAAATTGTGGTGTAGTCACACAATGGACTAAAGTAAGAAATGTGAATAATCTACCACTACACACAAAATGGATAAATCTCATAAACGGAAAGAAGCCAGGCCCGTAGAGTACACACTGTACGATTCTGTTTAATGTTCCAAACCAGGCAAAAGTAATGTATACCGTTAGACACCAGGATAGTGGCCACCCTTGGCAGCGGTAGTAGTGACAGGAGGGAGCATGTGGGGGACTTTCGGAAGGCTGGAAATACTGTTTCCTTCATCTGGGAGTTGGTTCATGGCAGTGTTCAGTTTAGGAAGGTTCAGTGAGCTGTGTGCACTTACGTCTTTTCTGTAGGCAATTCACACTTCAATAAATTTTCTAAACGCCTCTTAAGAAAACTTTGCTGTTTTTAATGTTACGTTTACCTACAGTCTGGGCTGAAAACAAAGCAGGTCTTTTCAATTAAACAAATGTGGTTTTGAGATCACTGCCCCCTCCGCAGACGCTTCCCCTGGACTTCCTACAGGGCCCTGATAAACTCAGCAAACCCTCCCAGAGCGTCCTACCTCGGTGCCCAGGCTGCGATCCTCAGGACCGCTGCTCTGCGAGCTTGGGCGCTCCCGGCGACAGCTGGCCAGGCTCTCCCCGCGCTCGCCGGCGCGCTCCCCGCCCAGCGGGCTCCAGCCTCCCCGAGCCGGTGTGCGAGGCGGCCCAGGCCCCGCCGCACCGGCGCCGCACCGGCGGTTCCGCGCGGAGCCAGGCTGAGGCAGCGCCAGAACTCTGGTCGCAGAGATTCCGCCGTCCTTGCAGGTCTCCAGCCCCTCGGGTTGGGAGAAGGCGCCCGGGAAGTCCCCTCTGGGCCCTGAATCTTAAAGCGAAGGAGGAGGAGGCTGCGATCCAGGCCTTGAACCAGCCCGCCTCCTGCACTGGCCCTTCTCCAGGGAAGCGCCCGCCCACCAAGCCCCACCCTTGAGGGGATGCGCGGGCCCAGGTCGCTCTCGCTGCGCCGGGAACCCGCGCAGCGCGGGACCCCAAGGAATCCTCGTCGACTGGGGCTGGATTTCCCCTCCCTACCCTTTCCTCCCGGCAATGAAGGCTGGAGGACTCGCGGCTCTGCCTGGAACCCCGTCCGTCGAAGTTCCCAGACCCAGCCGAAGTCCAGGACTCTGTGACGCTGTCCTAGCCCCGCAGGCCCCGCCCGGAGCCGCCTGACCCTCGCTTGCAGGCAAAAGCTCCGAGCCACTTCTGTGGTGATGCGCGCCCGCGGTGTTGGGGTTCCGAATCCTCGGGCCTGTCCTGCTCTCCCCGTGGACCTGGGGCTGCCTCAGAGGAAGAGGAGACTCCTTACTTCTCAGCATCCACAGAGCCGAGCCCCGCCTGGCCTAGAACATTGATGCCTGATGCCTACCAGAAACACTAAACTGTTTTTTGCATGGACCATCTGATTTTCAAAGCCAAGGTGACTGGTACATGAGTGTTTACATATATAAACATTCGCTGAGTTGTATGCCTAATATTGTGCATTATGCACAAACTTCTGATAGAGTTGCTATACAAATATCCATTTTATAGCGGAGGAAATTGAGGTTCAGAGTGCTCCTAATGTACTTAAGGTCTCCACCACTGATTGTGGTGGCCCTGAGATTAGAATGGAGGCAGCCTAACTCCAGAATCCAGCATCTTAACCCCTCAAAATTAGAAAAAGACTGCTGATTTTCTAGAACCTATTCCATCTTCCCCACCAGTGCTGCCTACCCACCTCCTGAGCCCAGTAGGGTACCAGTCACTGGGTCGGGATTAGTCATTTATTCAGAGAAGCAAGGAGGTTTGGGCCAGGAAATCATACAGTCCACCCTTATCTTGGCCTTTGGGCTCAGAAACCCGAAGGGAGGACTTCACCTGCTCACAGGAAAATCCAACGAAGTAGCAGTTTGAGCCTGGGAGGGGTCTTTTCCCCTGCAGAGGGAGCTCAAGGAAGAGGTAGCTGTGTTGGTCAAGGGTTTTCACCCTCGGATGCCCAAGGCCCTGGAGCCCCTGGAAGGAGCAGTACGGAAATCCTCATGCGAAGAGATGGGAGCTATTTATACCCGGAGACTGCAGGCTCTGGGGAAGGGTAAGAAGTCGCAAGGGGGCTGGTCTAGTCTGGTTCTAAGTATCTTAAGACACGCAAACTGCGCGGAAGCCCATCCATAGAAACAGCTCTGTTTCCTCTATGAGGGTCGCACGCCTCTTTTCCAGAACAGGGGGGCTGAAGAGTGAAGGAAGACTAACCAACCCCTGGCTAGGAGGAAGCCAGGCAAGGAAGGTGGGGATCTGAGGCTGGGAGCCCTAAGAGGCCACGGCCCAGCAGGATACAGACTAGGTTGGAGAAAAAGGAGTTGCTTACTTAGGAAACCCCCAGCGGAACCGGGGCGTTGCTCCCGAACCCTGGGATTCCTAGAGCGCAGGCGCTGAAATCCCGCCTTGGCAGCCAGAGCTCCCGGAGTGCCGTGCAACGTCCTGATCACCTACCGTACTCCTCACCTAGTCAATCTAGGGAAAGTGGAATTTGGTCCCAAATGCAGGTCCCGAATTTATCGTATACATCGCAGCTTTCCACAACCAACCCCACCGCACCCTGAGTCTTCGCTCTTTCCTAATCCTGCATTCTCCTCAACCACTAAACTTTATGTCCTAGTGTCAAGGTCATCACCAAGTTCTCAGTCCTCCTTTCTTAGGTTTTGAGCTGTGGGGCAAAAGACGACAATCCACTGGGGAAGCCGCGTCCCCAGAAGGCATCAAGGGCACGGAAAGCAGGACCTTCCTCTGGGATTGCGGTGGTTTGCATGTCTTCCCTGAGGATTGCAGGCTCTACCCAAGTGGGCCAAGAGTTCAGCGCCACATTTCCCTTGCAGCCAGCACCCAGTGCCACCACTCCACACAACTGGGGCTTCCGCATGGTTCTGGAACACTAGGGGAGGCTGGAGCTGAAGGAGCCTGGCTCCATGATCCCCTACTGGATTATCTGTCACAGAGGAAAAAGATGCCAACCTGCTTCCACCTGCAAGACCTTACTAGGACCTCAGGTGGAGGGAGAGAGACAAATATATCTTTACAAGAGACACTATGTCTCTTGCATATTGTGGTATTGGAAAGTCCCTAAGACTCTGGTGGTATATATGAGGGAGTGGCTCCCTCCACTTGGGCGGCTCAGGAAAGAAGTTTGGCCTTGAAAGACTAGCAGAAGCCTACCAGAAAAATGGGGGTAGAAGGGCATTCCAGACAGAGGTGAGGGAGTGTGCAGACGCATGAGGCTGCCATAGTGAAGGGCTATTTCCATTGGCTTCCTTTTTGTCATTCAGGCATCAGCTTAAATGTGATCTCAACATGGCTTTCTCTGACCACCTGTCTGAAAGTACCCTCCCTCCAGCACTTGGTTCTCTTTCCTTTTTAGATTTATCTACTATTTTTATATTTATTTGTTTGTTGTCTACCTCCCCCCCAATACACATCCCTGAAAAACTCCATAAGCCTGTGGACACAGTTTTTTTTTTTCAGTGTCCCTAGCATCCAGAACAGTGCAAGTCTACATATATTAGTAGGTGCTCAGTAAATACTGTTGGATAGATGGGTGAGTCGCTCGCAGCTGCAGGCAGTGAGAAACATGTTAGGGAGGGAGAGTTCCATACCCAGGCTTTATCGTAAGCAACTCTGGGAAGAAAACTCCAAAAGAGAGGGCTAGGTAGAAGGGGGCTTGGAGCGTCACGGTGGTGAAAGCCGAACGCCGAGGTGTGCGGTGGCTTGAGAGAGGAGACTGGCGGACTGGCGGAGAGGAGCTGAGGGCTGGCGGTCTGGGGCACTAACTCAAGCTGGCTTCCAGGGTCTTTCTCTCTCCGGAGAGGCGAGGGGAGGGAGGGTCTTCGTCCCCAGGGGCCGCCTCTCCAGCCTCCCGCTAGGCCCCTTTGGACGCGTCCAAGCCTCATCCTGGGCGGTCAGAGGGTTTGGGAGGATTCCCTAGCCTGCCTGCCTGCCCCCCCTTCCTCCCTTCCTCTTTTTTCTTCCTCCTCCTCAGGGTCTCTGCAGCTCTCCAGCCCGGCGGCCCCGTAGCAGCCTAGCAGCCTCCGCCCCCTCCTGTAAGGGCAAAATTGCTAAACTTGTAGCAATAATGACCCTGCATTCAGGCCACCGACTCCCGCTGAACGTCTCTGCGCCCCGGCCGGCCGGGCCTAATCAGCGGGCCCCTCCCTGCTGCCCGCCCAGCCCCCGTCTCCCCCTGGCCGCCTCCTCCCACAGCGCACAAAAAGTGGGGAACAAAACCCCCGCGCATTTCTCCGTCCCTCTGTTGAGCAGACTGCTGCACAAAGCCCCCGCTCTGAGAAGCAATGGGGAGCTCGGGGGGGACGTCAATCCCGACGCGCTGCGGTTTTTGTTCGCTCAGGGGACTTCGCCTTCCTACCACACCTTTTGTTCGGGACTCCAATAAAAAGCCATTCTTTCCGCACCTTCCCGGCCCGGAGCCGTCTTTCAGCGAGGCCCGGCCCCACAATGGCGCGGCGTTCTGAGGCCTCCCCATTCACCCGCCTTGGCACGCTCACAATCGGCCGTGTGGCAGCACAGGCCTCGCACAGGCATTCTCCGCAAGTGACAAGGAGCCGCATAAAGCCGCGGCCGCCGGGGGAGAAGGGAGGGCGGCCGAGGGGGAGAGCTCGGCCGCGGCGGGGCGCAGCGCCCCTGGGCGCCCCTGCGGAACCCGAAAGAGCCGCCTTCGCTCCGCCTAGGGCTGGGCTCAGGACGAGGTTTCCTCTTCCCGGGTGACCCTTGTGGTGGGGCAGAGTCTAAGCCTTGATTAAATGCAGGCCCAGACATTGGCCTAAGCATCTGGGTAAAACTTATAGGGGATTTGAAAGTCCAGGACCTCAGAAGGCCCTGAATCTCCGACCTCTCCTCTACACAAGAGTAAAGAAAAATTAATGAACAAAGCCTGAAGGGACCACATTTGCAGCCTGGGGGCTGGTGCAAGGAAGCCCAGGCCTGCAATTGCTCAGGGAGGACTGCTTTTCCTTACGCACCTTTTCTTTCCCTGATCGCCCTGTTAAAAGGATCCCTCCCCGATTTTTCTGCTCTAAACATAGTCTGTAGTTAGCCAACAGTTTGGAAATATTGCACCTTGTTTATTGACTCCTGTAGTGTATGGCAGCGGGTGTGTACACGGCATGTGGATAAAGTTATATATATATTATATGTGCTGAATACAGAATACGAAACAGAAAGGAAACCCAGTAACACCTCCGGTGGGCCACCAGGTCCCGGATTTGTTCAGCACTCCCACCCCCCACTTTTGATCCGGCTCCGCTGGTTTTTCGCGCAGAGTTCTATATCCCCCGACAATCCAGAGGTCTGGGCCGAGGTATCTGCTGCGGAGGCAGGAGGCTGGGAAAAGGAAAATCAACTGCGGTGTGGCGCTGGGGGCCCGCAAAGGTAGCAAAGGGTTGGTAAGGCCTGGGGATTTCTTAAGCCACGACGCCCCCTTTTTCTCTCCTTCATGCTTTTTTTGTCGTTGGGTTCCCCGCCGACGTTCGAGGAGGCCACGGGAAGGGCAAATGAGAGAAGCCCTCCTTGCTCTGGGAGAAGCAAGCGACAGCCGGAGCCCCAGCCGCTTTTACCCTTTTCTGGGCCAGGGTCAGGGCCATCGTCCTCCCCCGCCCCAGCCGGCGTTTCTGCCTGGGAGGCTTTTCGCGACCGTTCCCAGGGATCCTATTTGCCCCTATACCCCCTTCTCCAGGCCTCGAGTGAGCTATGCTCCGGGACCCTGGGGACCGAGACCTGCGCGTGCTTTTTGTTTTGTTTTTTAACAAGGGGGCCTGGCCCTTGGATACAGCCCTTCTCGCGCTTCTGTCCGCGGCGCCAGGCTGCGGTGGGGGGCCCACCGCGTGACCCGCCGCATCCCTACCAGGCTCGGATGCCCTGCAAGGTGCCCTGCGCACACGCGGCCCCGGCTGCGGCACCCTGGTGCAACGGCTGCCCGCCGCCACCGCCGCCAAAGCCGCCCAGGTTGCTCACGTTCACAAAGGGGCCGCCTCCGGCCGCGCTGCAGGCGGGCTGCATGGCTGAAGTCGCTACGGAGGCCCCGCCACCCCCACCACCCCCGCCGCCGCCCGCCGGGTACGCACAGCCGTAGCTGCCGGTGTAGGCCGCGGCGGCGGCAGCGGCAGCCGCGGCGGCGGCGGCGGCGGCGGCCGAGTTCCCGTAACCGTAGGCTGGGAAGCTGTTGTAAGAGTAGGCGCCCGCGCTCACGCTGTAGGGCGCGCCGTAGGCTTGAGCACCTGGCGTGACGCACGGCTTGCCGTCCCGCACCAGCACCGGCACCGCCACGCGGCGCGGGGGTGGCGGGGGCGCGTGCGCGCCGAGCTCCAGAGACTTGTCCTGCCGTTGTCTCTTGCACTTGTACCTGCGATTCTGGAACCAGATCTTCACCTGCGTGGACGTGAGCTTCAGGCTGCTGGCGAGGTGCTCGCGCTCAGGTGCCGACAGGTACCGCTGCTGCTTGAACCTTCGTTCCAGCTCGAAGACTTGAGCTTGCGAGAAAAGGACCCGGGGCTTCCGGCGGCTGCGTGGCTTGGGCCTCTCACTCTCCTCTGCCGCCTTACAATCTCCGGGCGCTTCCAGAGGCTTCTTCAGCTGACAAGTTTCTGCAGAAGCAAAACAACAGCGTCCCTTTAGCTGTTCCTGGCCTAACCGCGGCTCCGATTCTGGAGCATTGTGGCCTCTTTTGGTGGCAGTGCAGAGCGTGCGGTAGTAAATGCCTGGACTTTTTGTAAAGTTTGTGGCTCCTGGCTCTCTGAGACCCTGCAACAGCCCAAGTATCCTCCAAACGCCCTCGGCTGGAGGAGGCACGTTCCATGTGGAGGGATAATGTGCATTTATTTAGAATTCGAGCTTCTGCGAGAAAGATTATCTTGTATTACATGTGTGGGTCAGCGTACTAATTTCAGGATGAAAGTTTGCAACTACATAATAAATACAGTATTTGTAAATTCTCTTGCCTTCCACTCTATCACGGATAGCTGAAGGTGCGAGGTATGTTGGTATTTGGGGGCCGGTATGAGTGGGTTGCACAAATATCTTTCTGTTAGGAAATGTGAGTGTAAATAAGGCTCGTGCATTTCCCAGTAACTATTTTTGCTTTTAAAACACTACACGTTCACAGCAAAATGTCTACCTGACGATGTCTGTGTTATCATAGGGAGAAAAAGAAATTTGACTGATTTAGACAGTTTCATGTCGATTTTAGGCCCAGGGGAACTGGAACTGTCAGAGCACAAGCCCTGCTTCCACCACATCAAACCTCCTCTTTCGGAAAGAGATTCTTTGACTCTATCCCCTCAGAAACAAACTTTTTCTTGGGGGCTTTATTCAGTTATCCGATCTCCCTACCCAGCTCACTACCCGTCCGATGTGAGCAGCGGGGGTCTCAGACTCAGTGCGGCGGGGTTTCCATTCGGCCTGCAGTCCCACAGCCTGGGACACAAAGCAAAAACATTACCAATTTTCAAAAAAGGCCGTCGCCTCAGGAGTGTGAGTGCTAGGCTCCCATGGAATGGGCTGTGTTCCCACGCCGTCTCCGACCATCCCCTCCCTCTCTGCTGGGTGCTGAGGGTGCGAGGACACTGAGCTCCAAGCAGAGAAGGAAATCACCCAGCTAGTATCTACAAAAGTTCCTGCGTCCGCAGGCGGACGCTGGACACAACCTGCTTGGACCATCTTTTCGGAGAAGAGGGGCTGCTGCCCTCTGCTCAGAGAACTCGTCTGACGCTACAGAAAACTGGAAAAGGTTCAGGCTCTTGCCCCTTTAGCTCTTAGGAAGAGCAAAAACACTGAGTTGTCAGGACTCAGCAGCTGAGCCCATGCAGCTTATCAGCGTCTGGGCGGATCAACTACTTTCCTTTCCCTAGGGGGCTGCATCGCCTCCCCACTCTGGGGCAAGTAGTTGTCGGGGTCACCTCGTCCTTCTCCCTCCGCCCCGGCTCCCTCGCAAGGCGTCTGGGCTCTGAGGAGCTGTCGTTGACCAGGGCGAGACATGACCCCAGCCAAAGAGGTTAAAGGAGCGGGCAGCCGTGGTGGCAAGGTCTGTGGGCTCTCTGCGGGCGCTCCGCCATTGCTCCAGATGTGCGGTGCGTTTCCTTTCCCCCTCTACTCACTTTGGCTCCGGTCCCTCACGACCTCAGGCTCCTCTTCATGTGCCTTAGGCCCGCTACACGAGTCTCGCAGGACCGTGTGGACATAGCTCTGGGAACAGAGCCCCGAATCCCCTTGGCCGTCAGCGGTGGCTAGTGAGTTCAAATAGGCCAGTTTCTCGCCGTCCTCCTCCTCCTCCTCCTCCCCGCCGTCAGAGAACTGCGTGCCCTCCGCGGCGGCCAGCATGCAGGGCGCCGGGTGGAAGTGGTGCTCCAAGTCCGCTGGCAGGTGGGCGCCGTGGAAGCGCTGCTGCTGCTCCAGATTCAGAATGTCTTTGACTGAGAAAGGGGTGGAGGTGATCGGGCTTGGTAACATCATCAGGACCACTTAATTGTCCAGTCCAAATATTCAATAAATCCCGGCGGGGGCGGGGAGGCAGCGTGGCTGCTCCAGCCCTCCTGGACTCTGTGGCTGCCGCCGAGTGGAGCTTTTGACAGACGCGGTCTCGCTTCAGTCTAAATCGCCTCCATTGGCCGGGACCTGGGGGTCTGGGTTTTGTTACAGCCGCTGCAGGGACTGGGGCCGGGGCTGCGAAGCCTGTGTCCGGGGGTCGTGCGTCACATCAGGGGCGGGGCTCTCGCCTCGGCCTCCCTCCCCATTGGTTCCGGCTCCTGGGGACCACGCCCCCCCGCATCCACTAGGAGGGGTGCGGTGCCGCTACCAAAAATAAAGGACTAGTATAAAGTCGCGAAGTAGAAGTTGCTGCAGGCCAGGCTGCACTGTCCTGGGTGCCCGAACTACCAAATCTCGCCCACCCTAGTCGCACCTGCCCGGCCAGGGCAAGTTCTGGGATCCTTCCTGTCCGCGAACCAACTGCCAGGAAGGATGGTCCAGACGCTGGGTTTTTCCAGTTGCTGTGGGGCAGGCAAACTTCCTGGTCTGTAAATATTGGGCATTGGATCCCCTAAGAAACGGAATGTTTTATATATCTATGGATGGGCGACGTGTCCGTTCCTGCCTTGTTGATTTTGTTTAAGCTGTTCCCTCCTCTTGGAACGTCGCCCCTGCCCTTGTCTCTCTGAGTCGGAAGCTATTTTCCAAGGCTCTGCTCAAATATCACCTCCTTCAAGGAAGTGCTCTCTGATCGCCTAGCCGGAAGTCATCTGTCCCGCATCTGAACTTGGAGCGCGTGGTAGTAAAGGACATTCGTGTCAATTATCACTTCCCACCTAGTACTATAGCTATATCGACTGCCTGGTCGTCACCGGCAGTCTATGAGTGCCCGAAGACTGTCTTGGTTGCATTTGCCCTTCAGCCCTTCCAGCAGCTGCACTAAGCAGGTATGTGAGAGACAGGGCAATGGAGTTATTACTGAACTTTGTTGTCTGACAGCTCTTGGTTCAAATCCTAGCCTAGTTAGTGTGTAGCTTTGGGAGTTCGTAAGCCTCAGTTTGTCTACAAAAAGGAGACAATAACATCTTCTTCAGGGTTTTTACCAGGAATAAATGAGGCAAAACCAAAACATGCCAGGAGCTCAGATCAGGACCTGAGCATGTGAAGTGCTCAACAAATGTCAACTACCTTTATTTTGCATCAGAGGTCAACAAGTTGTTGACTGCATTAGTGATGATGTGGCTGGAGTGCCGTACACCCTGCTTCATACGGTCTTGAGAGCAGCATCTGTCACGGGGAGGTGACCCACCCGTCTTTTCTGCCTGTTGAATTCGGCGATTGGGTCCAGGCCTTGATCCTCAGAAGCATCTTTCTAGTTTCTCCAATCTACACGCCTTCTGGCGCCCTCGTGCGGCCCTGGTTGTTTTCTGGACTAATCTATGGGGTCCCCTGAGATTCTGGAAACTCCTCGCTGGTGGGGATCATCTTCCTCCACAAAGACGTTCTCTGCTACCACGCCTAGCCCAGTGGAGATAAGCGGGCTCTGCTGTGAGGCACATAGGGAGACCGGTGCTCAGAGCTGGCCTTAAAAAATCAGAGACCCGTTCTAGCCAACCGTTGCGTCCCTCATATGGCCAAACAGGGTTGAGCGGGGAGACCTGCTTCAGCTAGGAGGGGCGGGTGGAAGAAGCTCGGTGGCGGCAGACACTGGATGGGAGTGGGGTCTATAGTAGAGAGCTGCTTTGCGGAGGCCCCTGCAACTGCGGGAGCAGTGGGTGCCCAAGGCCCTAAAGGGAAAGAACAGCCGGTCGGGAGGTGGGGGGGAGCGGGGGAGAGGCGGGGCTCTTCAGCAGGGAGCGGAAATAGTGCGGGGAGTCAGCCCCTGGGGCCGCTCGGGGAGCTGGGATGCTGCTCGGGCCACGTGCGCCAGGGAGTACTTAGAGTGGCGGCGGCCTGCTGGTGGTGGGGGAGACCCTCTGTGGGCAGGGCCTTGAGCCGAAGCACCATCCCTCAGCGGCAGGGCGCCCCATGCTTTCATGCTTTGAGTTCTGGGACTATTGACGCCCCAGGCGGGGCCGGCCTTTCCACACCTGGCCAGGGGCGGCAGAGAAGAATGCGCTCGGTTTTGCCGCGAATCGCGAGCCCTCCGGCGCAAAGATCCAGAGAGAGGTGGGGGTGAGTGCGCGGCACTGCCGGGTGTGTGTGTGGTGGTGGTGGTGGGGATGTCCTGGGGTGTGCGCGTCGCGAGGCAGGCGAGTGTAAAACAAGGAAGCTGCTCTTAAGCCCCACTCCTCCATAGCCATCCCCAGGGCTAGGACGTCGCGGGGGAATGTTTTTGCTCCCCTCTAGTCCCCGATTTTTTTTCGGCTCTGGGTGATTTTCCTAAGTGATTTCAAGGGTCAGGAAAACAACAACAACAACAAAAAAGGCAAAAGCTACCGAAACTCTCCCCAGTTTCCAACGGAAGCCTGTATTTTTCCTCACTGCGTTCTTATCCGAAGCGCTTCGCTCCTAGGCCTTCTCTAAGCCCATCCCCAAGCACCCCCTAGAACCGCTGGCCTGCGGCGCCGATATCACCTAGACACGCCCACACACCCGCCGCAGCTGCCCTGAATCCACTGGGTTGCCTCCTCCCTGAGCACGCAGAAGCCTATCTCCTCCCAACCTGCAGGCCCACGCAGTCCGTTCTCCCCCCCCCCCCAAGAACCGCTGCCATCACCACCCCGCCAGGCACCCTTGGGTCAGGCCTGAGTGGTTCTCTTCTGCAGCCCGTGACCAGGTTGCTCCTTGGCAGGCCTTTTGGGATCACAGTTCAGGCGCGCCGCGCTGGCGGTCTGTAAGGATCCCAAACGCGGGCAGCCTAGCCTGAGGTTTCTGTGCCCTGTCGCCCTTTTCTCTTCCAGTCCCCATCCCTGCTCAGGGCTGATTTACAGGGCGGGAGACATCTACCTACCAGCTACCTGGAGATGACTTGGCCTTATGCCCTGAACAGGGGCTTGGGCTGTGTCCAGCTGCCATCACTTGGTTTGTCAAGCTCCCTTTGGTCGGTCTGGTTTCCTCGCGGCGGAGCTTCCCAGCAGGGATCCCGGGCCAGGCCGATGCCATCCAGGCACTCAGCAGTCAGGACTAGCGTGATAGTGAGCACCGCCACCTGCGCGCCGCTGTCTGGGAGGAAAATGCCAGTATACTAGTTATACTATAGCAGTGGTTGGTTCTCGGGAGTCACTTATCAGAATGTGAGATCTGGTTCCAACGCGTATATCCAGTTACGATCGTTCTGGGGCATTTGCATTCTCTTGTCTGAAAAGAGGATCTTTGAAATCCTGGAACTGTGCTTGACTAATAATAGGTTTTCGTTCCAGACAGTTTAGCTAATTACTGCCATAAAGTAAATACCGTTGCATCCACGGAAGCGTTTCATTTTGTTTAAATCGAGTGTATCTGTTTCTGTACGCTTTTAAATCGAGTGTATCTGTTTCTGTACGCTTTTGTCACTTTATACATTTATTCAAGTCCCCCTCCTCCCATGTATGATTAAAGATCAAAGTAAAATGATGGCAAATTCTATGAGGCAGAAGTGCTACATAGATGCATAAGCTATAAATAAAACACCTTTTTTGGAGAAAAACCATCTGCTGATCATTACAATAAATATCAAGTAAAAGCATGATGATTCCTTGAAAACTGTAAAGTGTTCCCGTTATTATTCTCTATACAAAAATTGCTTAATATACGTATAAATGCAGGCAGATCATTAATCATTTTAGTTATATATGCCACTGCTATGTTGTTACCTTCCATTTCATTATGCAATCAAGGCCACAGAAGTGTTGAAAGTTCTCACTGCTTTCTAAGTTAAATTAGCACCAGCCAGAAGTGATTCCCTATTAAAGCATGAAAACCATCCTGTATGATTAAAGATCACAGTACAATGAACTCAGCCAGCCAAAATTATACAATACTAAGAGCAAATTTTTTCGAGTTTTTCATTTTTTACTACTCTTCTAGAAATTTCATTTTCAGTGACATCTTGAAAGAGAAGGAAGAGAAAGGAAAAGGTTTCCTCTTTTTTAGTAGCAGTGAACAGGCTTTTTTATTTTGTTGGTGGTGGCACTGTGTATATGTGTATGGGTTTTGTTTGCTTTGTTAGTTGAGGGATGTTAGAAAGCTATCCAAAATTTTTGAGCAATCTAGAGGCAATAGTGTTTTTGTGAGAAGGGTGAATACATTTTCTACTTTTAAATAAATATCAACTAGGTAGGTCAGTCCAAAAAAACATTAAACTGATCTAATTTCTTGAGGGGAATTTTTTACTCATTTTGGCAATTCTGTAGGAGAGATTTTTTTTTTAATGGTGTTTTGAAGATTTTCACTTGTTTTGCATGTGTTTGTATAAATGCCAGCTTTTCCCAGATTGTGTTTGGAATTGTTTTAAAGTAACCAACCATTTCCCTTCCTTCGGAGACAATCAGTCCAAGTTCAGTAATCTGGGTAGTTCTTTGTAAATTGCAGGCCTTTGTTGAGGAAGTGAGTTTCGATTTCTCCGGCGAGGACCTTCCACATCTATGTGCATCTGCCCCACTCGAAAAATATTGATAACAATGTAAATACAGCTTACCTCAACAAAATCAGTTATATTCTGCCAACATAATATACATCAGAAAGGTTAACTTTGTCGAAAGAAAATCAATTCAGTATTCTTCGAACAAAAACTCCTAGATAAAGGACGTGTTTACACAGATATTTATTTGTACTATTTGCGTGTGCTATTTGGGAGTGCAGTGAGCCGTTTCAACTTGGGGATTAAATTGGAATTCTGGATGCATTCCTTAACTTTTTTTTTACGTGTGAGTTTAACTTCCTGTAGCGAAATTTCAATGTCTATAGACCTTTTAAAATATGATCTGACTTCAGAGGAGCGGCTGCAGTCTTTGGCGAATTAATTCAGTTCAACCTGATCGCCTGTCTGCTCTCTGCGGATATCTGAGCGTAAGGGGGGTAGGGGCTGGGTGGTGGGGGATGTGGTTATCACGTTCTAAGAAGCAGAGATTCTCTGTGACTTCATAGCGCGATCTTCTTAACTCTTACCTCAACCACAAGTCGTGGACCTCGGCCTCCTAGGACGTAGAAATCTTTTCCCAAATCTCCCTGGGGCAAACCACATTGGAGCGAACAACTTCAAACTGTTTCGTGGGAACGAAAACGACCTTTCTTACTCAGAAACTTTTGCCGCAGTCCTGTCGCTTAAAGTGACGCCTTACCCTGCCCTCGCTGCCTCCGACCTGGAGGTCCCAGCCTTTGGGCGGCCCGGGGAGAGCGATTCCCTAGGTGAGGCAGAACCTTTGCTCTGTCAGCGGGCGTCGGTGTCTGCGGACCTAGCCGCTACTTGCCCTTGGTTCCCTGAAGCTTCGGGGGGCACCGTATGATCGCCATTGCCCCGGAGACAGTTCCGGCTTCCCTGACCTTGCTGGGATGTTGGGGCACGGGCGTGGGCGGCTGGCCTTGTTCAGAACCGACCAGGAACCCGACCTGCAAAGGACGGAGGCCCCAGGCGGCCGCGGCGCACCAACGCGCACAGCCACAGAGGGGGAAGAAGGGGTGACGCCGGGCCAGCCAGGTCCAGGCCCGCAACTCTGGGCCTCCGGACTGCTCAGCCTCGCCCTACAGGACGCTAGTGTGGATGGCCGGAGGCCAAGCGCTGGGCGGCCCGGAGGCTGCGGGGACTGTAAGTGGCAGGCCTCACTCCGGCCTGCCGCCCTCGGGCGCCGCGTCTCCGTGCTTGAGCACCTGGTCCGCACTGGTCGGGGCCCACGCTTCTCCCCGTCTCGTCTCTCTCCAGCTGCAGGCCAAGAGCCCGGGGCCTTCGCTCCTCGGGGATGCGTCTGGGCCTCTATGCTTGGAATTGCCTGTAGGTTCTCAGTCCCGCGAGACCTCTCCGCGTTCCTGCCAACTGGAGAGAAAGGGGCTTCTTACCTCTTGCGGCTCCCCGCACCCGGAGACCGGACAGAGCCTCCGAGTCCCGGACCCCAGAACTTCCGTGGCCTCCTCTTCCCCCTGGCAGCCAGTCTCCTTCCTCTTTCAGCCCCTTACCCCTGCCTTGGGCCCATCAATGACTACCCCATCCCTCCCTTCCTCATTCTGCCTTCTTCCTCACCACGCTACCCCCACCGCCTTCTCCCTCACCTCTTCCTGGGCTCCCTGGCTTCCTGTCTCACTTGGTCTCCACTCTTTCCCACCAGTTTCACTTTTCCTAATTTTTTCTTTTTACTCTCTCCCCCATTTTATTTTACCCCCCTATCCCCTCTTTTCTCACTCCTCCGACGAGGCTCTCCTGCTCTTTCTCTCTGGCCCCTGTAGGTGTTTGACAGAGAGGGAATCCCCCCCTGGAATGGGTGGGCTGCACAGGGTATGATCAGACTAGTTGAGCAAGGCCCCATTCCTGAGCCCCAGGCCCCTTTCTCCATCCCACCCCTGTGCTTACTGTCTCCTGAGCTGCTCATAAAAATGCCCAGGCACCTTTGGGTGTGTGGTAGGGACGCTACTCTGCACTCCGCTTGGGTCTGTAGGACCTGCCCTACCTCCCACCCCCTACCCCTCTGCAGTCTCAGCTATGGGCCCACTGGTCTGTGGGGCTCCAGACGGTGGGCTTGGCCACCCTCTGCATGGAAATCCCCTCTCCAGGCAGATCCCGTGGAGCCTCCATTTCCTTCTATTGTGGCAGTCCCGAGGATCCCAGTGGAGCTGAGGGTGCCCAGAAGGCCTGGGCTCCAGGCATCCCTTGAGGACACAGATGGAGGCTCCAGACCAGGACCAGTCTCCTCCCCACTACACACAGGCTAGAGCATACTGAACAGACCTTCCTTTCTCTCTTTTTCCTGCTAGCCCCACTTTAGATTGGGTGTTTAGCCTTGAGATCACCCCAGCTGGGAAGTGTTCCAGAGACTGCCTTAAAATTGAGAGGCCAAAGCTGGGAGAGGAGAGTGAGGTCCCCAGCTCTCACACCAGTCAGTGGGGGCAAAGTCTGAGTACTTTGTAGCTGTTCCCTGCCCCCTATAGTCTCTTACTCTCTTCTTAGCTGCTGTGTATGGGGCCAGTGGAGCAACTGAGTCACTGGTCTCCATAGAGGACACTGGGTCTGGGGCCTTCTCCCCTGTGACTCAGGCACCCCAGCTGCA